GCATTTTCTGAAGCTAATAATGACATGAAACAACCTATATGCCGTATTTACTATGATTAAACTTATAAGATTGTTGTTTTATCATGGCGAATTCCTTTAAAATCACTTTATGGTTACGGACCATATCGACACATTTTTTTTTAGGAATAGTTTTATTATCAATTTAATTGACTCGTATTCAGATAATGTGGGTTTCACGTGGATTGTCTGCTAATTCAGGTGACATTTTTTGAGTGGCGAAATCTTATTTGTCACACATATAAATAGAAAAACAATGCATCTAGATCGCTTATTGAATTTAATAGAGTTACCTAATGGAAATAAATTATCTTAAAAAACAGTTTTGTTACAATCTATTAACGAGAAAGTATTAACTTTGAGATTGCGACTGACAGAAAAGATTCCCAACTTAATAACAACATGTTTAGAGCCGAATTGGTCGTCGACGAATATAAGACCCAAATTCCTTCTAAACAAATATTGGTATAAGATCGAATGACAACCTTGGCTTGACGTGATAACTGCGCCTATAAATAAATTTTAAAATGATACTATTTTTACTTTTTTTTTTACTATTTTTATCACGTTTTGTATTTTATTATCATTATTTGTATGAATAGCCTGAATTCTTAACGTTATAAGAGTCCTTGTAGAATAAGTCTTGAGATAATAATTAAGAACTTTAATTGAATAATACACTAATTCTAAATCATATACACCTTTATTTAGGATTGACTGAGTCAATCGTATTAATATAAAAAAAAAGTAAACGCGCCTCATATATAGCTTTGTAAATATTGAATGAGTTTGCGATTCGAGGAAGCACTCCTCAGCTCTTTCTTATTCATAAAGATAATGTTGATTCAAGAATCCATATAGAATCTTTGAATTGAGACGGAAACCTTTGTTTCAAGATAACTATTTCACTATCTGATGTAAAATTAACACCTTTCTTAAATCCTTTATAAATTATTATTATCTGAATTACAAGTATTTGAATTTTTTGAAACCAAAGAAATCAAAGTTCCCGTAATACAAGAAAGTTTAATATGTTTCTACAATTCAAATAGTTCAAAGACCTGGTCAAGATATCCTAACTTGCTTCATCGTGCTAAATCTTATTTCTACTGATAGCGGAGCCGCACTTACTGCGCCATTAAAATATTTTCGGAATTATGCGCATTCTATACCATTCTTCATATTTCACGTTGCAAAGTCGATAATTGCAACATTTTAATAATATAATTAGGAATCTACTTTATGTGAATGGTCTTTGAATGATATAGTTATTTCCTGTGCACTTAATTCATAATATTCAACATTAACGTGTTAATTTAAATCAGTACGAGATTTTTTAAAGATTTCAAATGAGAGGATATAATTATATCTGAGTTGAAATAAAGGTAAATTTTCTTCGTTATATTATACCCAATAAGTTTTTATAATTAAGAATTTGGGCCGAAAATTCAATTTAATTGTTCTTAAATTTGAACACTTGATTTTATAAAATGGGACCTTTGCAATAGAAAGGGGGGAAACTGCCGGAAAAAATCAATTTTACTTTTATATGTCAAATTTGATTTTTAGGTCAAAATATGATCAGATTTAGCATTAACTCATTTTTTTTTTTCCAGCCGTTTCCCCCTTTTCTATTGCAAAGGTCCCATATATTTATTAATTAAGTCTTATTTTTTAACATTATATCCATAATCAAACCAGTTGAAAATTTGACATATGCTATTTTCAGTTATTAAGACAGAAAATTGGATTTTTTCAAATAATTTATCAAGATAAAAAAAAATAAAAGGTTATTTATAAATAATATATGAATCTAATTTCAAAATATTTAATTAAAAATATTTAGAACTTATTCTTTTACAATTTGATATACTTCATAATCTTCTATAGAAAACTTGTCATCTGTATCTCTAATACTTTTTTCATAACTTACTAGTTTGCAATAATTATTATCATAATTATCATGATAATGATATCTTCCATTATAATAATAATTACTTGGTGAAAAACGAAGGTCTTGATCAAATGATGGACCAAAATTTTCATTACAATATATTGCTTTGCTTGTATTATTTACGCGGCTTAAAATTAGATCCTTAAGATTATCCTTATTCTTAAAAGAAAATATAAAACTATCTTTGGTTAATATATATTCATTTGATTTATTCCATATTAAAGGATTATATCCACCAAGAATTTCATCTGTATCTTTTACTTTGATGAATGTAATTGTGTTTGGTTTATTATCACATAAATCATGAAAATTACGTGGATAGAGTCCATCTCTGCTTCCTCTTAATAATAATTTGAATTTATATGGTAAATACAACTCTCTTGTATAAGCAAATTTGCTTGTTGTATCTATTTTATCAATCCATCTTGAAATAAATGAAGCAATCTTTAAATTAACAATGCTTGAATCAATAATATCAAGTTTTCGATTCCTAGGCAATAAAATATTAACGCTTGGTTCACTATTAGGATCCAAATAAGAATTTAATAAATCTTCATAAAGTTGATGTTTCAAAAGACGTTTATATGGACGAACTTTTTTGATGAAATCTTCAGAAGATAAACTAAAAAACCTAATTAAGGGTAGACAATGTTGTAAAGTATTTTCCATCATTTCGAAATCATCATCTGACCAAGTTGAAGGATCAGAAAAGAGCGTAGGATTTTTTTCCAGTCCCCATCTTAATACATGCTCCCAAACTTCAATTTCTTTCATTTGTAAATCATCACATTTGAGAAGTGAAATCAAAGACTTTTCAGAAAGCGATGTAAAATCAAGTGATTGAAATACTCGTTCAGGTGATTTAGCCATAAAGTCTGTACAAAATACTTGAAGTTTAGAAAAAGAATTAAATTGAAAACTTGTTCTATGAGTGAGTTCAAAATGTGGTTCAACCAATTCAGTTTTATTTTCAATCAAATAATTTTGTACATATTCTACTAGTTCTTGAAGAAGAAGTTCGTCGGCAGCAACTAATACTTTCAAAATTTCTGAAGTATCTTTTTCGTTTAATGAAATAATTCCACCATAAATGTAACTACATCATAAAAATTTATAATCATTTTTAATATGATGAAAGAAATGATAATATGATGCTAAGATTCAGTTATATGCACTTACTTCAAAATCATTTGAAAAATTTCTGGTAAAATATTTGGCAACTTGATATGAACTAGGGAGTCATCATCATTATTCATTTTATTACACATTCGTCGTAAATACGGAGAACGATAACGTAATATGAGCGTATGCGCACGAAATATTTTCACATTCGGATCTTTTCCAACTTCAATTGTAATATCATAGTATTCATCATCATCTAAAATGTCAATATAGTTTTGGCTTAACTTGTGAAAAAATTGTGCCGACATTTTTTTCTTTGGGAAATATAAAAAAAAAATTGTAAAATGTTGAAATTAAATTTGTTGGACAAGAGGTCATCGGACAATTTGTCTTACATGTTTGATCAAAAAAGGTTAGAATTTTTTTACTTGTCTTAATTAATATTTTTATGTGTTACCGAACCTTAGAGCGAAATAAAGTTGTACAAGCACATTTGGAGCTATTAAAATCACGTTACACGCAAAAGTTTTCAAACTTATAGCAGCAAGCACATCTAGCGAAACGAAATCATTCATTAAATTTTATCATTGTATTAATTCAATATAATATGATGTGCTTATAATAAATATATTTTATATTGCATAACCCTATAGGAATGAGGACCAATTACGCATGATGAACACTTTAATTTGGGTTTTTCCATGCTGTTTGCAATAAATTATCGCTCGCTTGTCGTATAATGGATTTCATCAATAAAAAAAAGTTCCCAGAATACTTTGGAAAAATTTGAAACACGAGGTAATGCGGGTGATAACCTACGTTTACATCAATTCCAGGAATGTAAAAAACAATGATCTTCCACGTGTCAATTGGGAGGGAACCGGTAAATTATTATCTTTTTTTTATTAAATCATTTATTACGCATTATAATTTTCAATCAATAAATGAAAATGACCAACGTTCTCCATAAATAGATTACTAGGTTTTTCACGGGTTATATATATATAAGTCACATGCGCGTAACATGAAGTTCAATTCTACTCATTAGCTGAGGCACTTTTTTACATTGCACTTTTGCCTTGCCTCTATCTCCTTTTGAAGGTTCAATGAAGTATCAAACCTTAGCCGAATCGCAAGTGAATCATCTTCCGGCCTACTGAGATCAAATACAATAAATTCACCTTTTCGAACGTAACGCATGTGATTATCATATAAACTCAAGTAATCCGTTGGAATAACAGACTTATACAAATAACAGACTTATACACCGATGATATTTTTTTGTCTATATACATTTTCTTTTTTTTCCTGAAGATATTTGTTTAGGTTTATTACATGTCTAAAGAAGTTAAATGGCATAAATTACGAAACGGAATCTGTGCTTAACTATCATACGATATTTTAAATAAAGAACCAATTAAACCTTGTGAAAATGAAACATATACAAATAAAAAAGGAAATTTATCTTTATCGATACAATTTTGTTTATGTTCTTCGGTTTAATTTATATTACAAATTATATATATATAAAAGAAAACAACAAATTTCTAATTTAATGCGAAAAAAAAGAAAATCCAAATTGAATTTCTCAATTACAAATGCAGTTAAAGATAAATTGATAATAATAACATAATTGATAAACATAATTGTTGTAATAATATAAATATATCATGTCACATTATAAAAAAGTGGAGTAATTGACAAAAATATCCATTGGTGTATGCATAATACCGATTGGATAATATATACATATAAAGTGTAGTTATCAAATTTGTTATGTAAATTTCGCACACCCGAAATTTTCTTTGCAAATTTAAAATTCATTAGGTAAGTCGAAATTTCTCTCAGAAAACTTGAAAATTACATGATAATGATTTTATTGAAAAAAAAAGATTCATCTCAACTTTCAAGGATAGGCACACATCTTTTCAAAATCGCAACCAATTTTATCACCAAGAATTTCTTTAAATTTGTTCCACTCGCAATATTCACTATCACAACCCGGAATCAAAAACGGTTTAAAATCGAGTAACACTCGTATCAACACGGTATCACCGGAACATTTATAAATTTCGAAATAAAGCGTAGAAGACCAGCGTATGAGCCTATATTCTGTATACTCGAGTTCTTTAATTTGCTCGTAAGTTAGATCTGCCGAGACTGGGTACTTGTTTTTAAATACTCCCTGTAATTAATAAATATCAAATGAATATCACATGTATAAAATTAAATTAAATTAAAAAAAAAGAAAAAATGAAAGAATTCTTGACATACCATTGTAGTAAGTATCATATATATAGTAAAGCTATGAGCATTTCTTAAATCGGCAATCATACTAGAATTACCATTTAAATGATCTTCAACTCCATTCACAAGCTGAGTTAAATATCTACAACCCAATCGTTCATTAAGAGGATTACCGTAAGAAACTATCTGATAATAAAATAAATCCCAATAATGTCGTGACAATAAAAGCTCTTTAGGGCTTAAGAGTGGACACCATGCGTCAGTTCGATTATAAACCGTCAACCAAAATTGGCAATTATTAAATATATGTGGCACGAAAATCGGATCAAGAGGTGGGCTAATATTGTATTCTTCGGAAATTCTCTTGGCAATTGGTGCTAGTGTCTTGTTACCATAGATATAGAATTGTTCATCAAGTACTTTATTATTGGAAAAAACGGTCTCGTTCCAACGTCGACAAGCATGGAACATAAATAATGTATCATCTTGGTTCTATTCAAGAATTATACAAGGTGTGGCATTTGTTAACGGATTGAATAAAAAAAAAAATCTTTAACAATAATAATAAAAAAATAATTACCACTGGTGTAGTCGTATAGTATATAGGTTGACTTTTACAATTGTCTAAAGAACCCTTGCCATTAAACAATCCTTCAGAAAAGGCCATAATCGACGCACCAGTTCTTATATTTAAATAAATCATCATAATATATTTATTAAGATAAATGAATGTTTGTTTGTAAAATCTTAAGATGAAAATATTTTATAAATTAACCTTGAAGTTTGAGTACTTTGAAACTTTACAACTTCTGGATCATATTTGACTCCATCCCAAAATTTTGCATATCTTTTACGAGATTGTAAACCATCAAAATAAGGCTCGAGTTCCCCTCGTTTGATCAATTGAAAATTTTGCCTCATGAGGAAAGGATTTTTATACTAAAAAGTAATAATGATTAACTACATGACAACATCACATTAAATTCATAATAATTAAATGAAAGTTTACTTACCCAATTTTTTGCAACAGAAACATTAGCAAATATTTTTTCCAATTCGTCAAAAAATAATATACTATTTGCATCTGGATATCTTGATCCTAATAATTTCGAATAAAAAGCAGAGATTATTTCATGCTGTTAACTTTATAAGATTTGTACATCAATATAAAATTACCGTGTCTAGTAACCAAGTGTAACTGTTTTAAGTCACATTTATCAGGATAACTAATCGGTTTAATATCTTGAGCAAAGGCGGTTTGCGGAGGTTCGAGGTAAAAAAGATGGTTGTTGAGAAGATATTCTCTCGTATATTTGTACGTCTTACATAACGTTGGGTTATAGGACACAAATAAATTGATGATAAATACTGTATATAGAATTCGGTATGGAAACGTCATCATTTTGTTTCTTTTTTTAAAATTATTTTTTTTTAAAAAAATAAATCAAAAAATCGAAGGTTATATATAGAAATAAACTATTCCTTCAACATTTATATTTTTTTTTTTTAAAAAAAAAAAAAAATGCAAATGACATAATAAATTCGTATAATTTTTATTTGATTGTCTTAAGAAAATAAATTAACCATAAGTAGATAAGTTTAAGGGAATAAAAATAATTTAACCAAATGGCAAGAAATAAAAAATAATTACTCCATTGTTGAATGAAAATATTAACAATAGTAAAAGTCTGACGAATGACAATTATATTAATATCTATTATCTATTAATTGTATAATAAAAAATGTGTTAGTAGGGAAAACCCTCAATGCAGAAATTAATGTAAGTTGCATATCATTTATCTATTATATTTAAGGAAAGGATAAAATTGTCTTTAGACACTTATTTGTAATTGAAAATCATTAATGTTGTAACACGTCAATTTTGTTAATCATGGTATTACAATAGTTAATTAAATAACAATCGAATATTCGAAACATAAAAAAATTTCTTGAAAATAATTATTCCTATTATGTTATTCGATGAAAGAAAAATCTATAGACACCCTCAAACTTTAACGTTACCGCAACAAATTTTCTTTTCATATTTAACGGAATCACTTGTTATATTGTAATCCAAATAAGTTAATGTCCGAATTTCCGATTTAATTACAATAATAATCATATCTAAATCCATTGCATTGTAGTTGATAACTTGCAGGGGACGCAACTCCGATTTCTGGCGCTAAAACTTATGATGGTCCATCAGTTAATTTCAGGGTTCTCAGTAACATAAAAATACGTTTGAAGGCGCAGTAAATATTATAAAAGGCAAAATTAATGAATGTCCCAAAATGGGTAAACAATGAAATATATTTGATTTTTGTGTGTTACGTTATCTATTTCTACAGGTCTTTTAATTATAAGTTTTAACTGAGCTTTTGTAATTTTATACTGATTATTTATAAAAAAAAGCTTAAAATAATTTCACCAACTAAAAAAAGAATCAACAAATCAAAATGATGAATATCTAACATAACATTTTAATAGATCAACAATCGATAGTGCTTAAGAAGGTGGGTTTATATGAGATGGAAAGTTGCAGCAGCATCAAGATTAAAATCATGGTGAGAGATCATGCATCAACATACATTATTAAAATATACCAATCTAAGAAAAAACAATAAATATTTCAAAAAAGCATGAAATAATTTTCCTAAAATAGTATAATTCATTTTCTATTTACTCCTCTTCAATTGATCAAGAAAATATTCATGCGATTATATTATTTGATCGTATAAAAAAAATTTTCGTTGTCTGAAATAGATAAATATCCACTTTTTCAACTTCAACTTTTTTTATTTTATTGAAGTTAATAATGATATATCGCATTCTATATACAGTATTTATCGTTAATTTATTTGTGTCCTATAACCCGACGTTATGTAAAACATACAAGTATACTAGAGAATATCTTATCAACAACCATCTTTTTTACCTAGAACCTCCGCAAATTGCCTTTGCTCAAGACATTAAACAGATTAGTTATCCTGATAAATGTGACTTAAAACAGTTACACTTGGTTACTAGACACGGTATTTTTATAATTTCGTGAACATCGTATAAAATTTAACAGCATGAAATAATCCCTACTTTTTATTCGAAAATTACTAGGATCAAGATATCCAGACCCAGATAGTATTACAATTTATGATGAATTGGAAAAAATATTTGCGAATGTTTCTGTTGCAAAAGATTGGGTAAATAAACTCTCATTTAAATCATAAATTTAATGAAACGTTGTCGTGGTCAACAAGGAGCTAATCATTATCATACCGCAAACTTTTTAGTATAAAAATCCTTTCCCCATGAGGAAAAATTTTCAATTAGTCAAACGTGGAGAAATTGAACCTTATTTTGATGGTTTACAATCTCGTAAAAGATACGCAAAATTTTGGGACGGAGTCAGATATGATCCAGAAGTTGTAAAGTTTCAAAGTACTCGAACTTCAAGGTATAATTTATAAAATAAAGTTTTTACGAAAAAACATTTCATTTATTTTATTTTAATAAATTTACAATGATGATTATTAATATATAACATTCTTATTTAAGAACCGGTGCGTCGATGATGGCCTTTTCTGAAGGATTGTTTAATGGCAAGGGTTCTTTAGACAATTGTAAAAGTCAACCTATATTCTATTGGAATGAACCATTTGTAAATTTTTTTATTATTATTGAGAAAATTTTATTTCATTTTTTATTCATATCAGTTAACAAAGCCACACCTTGTATAATTCTTGAATAGAACAAAGATGATACATTAGTTATGTTCCTCGCTTGTCGACGTTGGAACGAGACCGTTGCAACTAATAATAAAATACTTGAAGAACAAATATATGCTTATGGTAACAAGACCATAGCACCAATTGCCAAGAGAATTTCCGAAGAATATAATATTAGCCCACCTCTTGATCCACATCTAGTACCAAATATTTTTAATTATTGCCAATTTTCGCTCACGGTTTATAATCGAACAGATGCATGGTGTTCACTCCTAAGCCCCAAAGAGCTTTTATTATCACGATACTATTGGGATTTATACTCTTATCATCAATTTTCATATGGTCATCCTCTTAATGAACGAATTGCCTGTAGATATTTCACTCAGCTTGTGAAAGGAGTTGAAGATTATTTAAATGGAAATTCTAGCATGATAGCAGATCTAAAGAACACTCATGGTACTTCTATATATATGATACTAACTACATTGGTGGGTGACAATCTTTCATTTTATTTTAATTTTTTTTTATAAAATATATAATATTTATTTGAAATTTATTAATTACAGGGAGTATTCAAAGACAAATTCCCACTTACAGCAGATTTAACCTTTGAACAAATTAAAAAAGTCAAATTTACAGAATTTAGGCTTATACACTGGTCTTCTACGATTTATTTCGAAATTTATAAGTGCTCAGGTGATAACGTATTGATACGAGCGTTACTCGATTTTAAACCGTTTTTGATTCCAGGTTGTGATAGCGAATATTGCGAATGGAACAAATTTAAAGAAATTCTTGGTGATAAGATTGGTTGCGATTTTGAAATGATGTGTGCTCTACCTTGAAGGATGACTACTTTTTATTCTTCTTTATATGGTTCTTATTCCATAATAAAAATATTTCTTGAAAGAATTATGTCCATTTAATAAATTATCAGAAAATTTAGATTACGAATTAGCGTATATCTTTTATTGGATTGGCCAAAGGCTGATATAGTTACGCTCAAATTTATAATACGCTTGCTATCGATTTTAATAATTTGATGTTGGCGATTTGTCTAAACAATTATCAATTTCATTGAATTTCATTATAAATATCTATTGACGATAGGTATTAAATTTAGATGAACCCTATTCTTTCTTTCTCCTGAAGCATTTTTCTAAAGAGTAGATCAGAATTGCGCTTTCGAAATTTAGATATAACATCCGAAATTTTTTTAGCATACTTTAATCATTTCTTTGTTATTAGAGTTTGAAGTATACAGCGGATATTAGCAATTCATAGCTATCTTTTACTGTTAACAGAAACATGTCTATTTTTCATAAAAGTTTGATCATGGTTTTAAATGAACAGGTTATTCACAATTAATATTCTGACATCTACTTCGAAATGACGCCATATACCATATATGGTTTTGTTAAATAAAAAGGATCAACAATTTTACCTTGGAATATATTGTTTTTTTCTCTTAAAAAAGTAAGATTGAAGATATAACACTTTTAAATCGCCTTTTAGAAAACTATAAAAAATAAATTTTGGTTGGTATTTATCTTGATCGCAAAAAATTTCGTTAAAAAAGGTCAAATAGCTACAGTCAGACCTCTCTAAATCAACGCTCAATAAATTCACATCCTCTTTTAATGCATCTCTGACTTGGTCTCAAGCTTGGGACTTTAATACTAAATGCTCCACTCAATGTTAGAATAATCGTACAAGGAAAATTTTTTATTAAATTTTAATTTATTTTATATAAATTTTTTGGCATATTTTTAAATGCTTTGGCTAAAAATTTAAATTTAATTTGCTTATATTTTATTAAATTCTTTGACTTGAAGACTTGCAACATTGTTGAAACCAGGCAAAACCCAGGTACTGAACTAATTCTAGGCCGGTAAATTATAAGTTTAGAAATTTCAGTTCAGCCTAAATTTTTTATAATTTTAGTAAAAATTATAATTCAATTAAAATTATAATTTATTTATTTTTTTTTTTTTTTATCAAAAAAAAGGTGAAGTATGATTATACTTTAATAAAATAATAAATTCACTCCAATAATTTTTTTAGTTTTTTATTTACAATAAAAATTTCTAAATAAATAAATATATCACTATTTTTAGTATTTATAAAATTTATAAAATAAATAGTATTATTGAATTATTAAATTCACATCACTAAATAGCATGAATTATTATACTAGTTCAGTTTCAATTATTATATTATTAAGTCTGTATTACTCTAAGCAAATATTTTATTACATGAATTCAAGTTCAGACTGATTTTTGGCTTATTTATTCAGCTATTAATTTAATAGCATTTATTTTATAAATTTATTAGATTTTATAAATATATAAATTACAGAAATTTTACATTCACTATTATTTTCTTTTATATTATTTTTAAAAAAATGAATATGTCTCAAACTTTATCAATTTCTGCAATTATTATTAATCAAGAACACTTTTTAAATCTGATTTCAATATAATAGTTCAATAATATACTGATTCTTTAATATAAGATTTAAAGAAAAAGTATTTATTAATAAAGTAATATATAAAGATATAATAGTTTATTATATGATTCAAAATAGTATTTTTAGTTTAAAATAATTTTGTATTAAAACTTATTAGTAATAATTAGTATTAAAACTTATTAGTAATAATTAATATTAAAAAATCTA